TTTAAACGAAGCTCATTAGTAGCATCATATTACTCATTCGAAGTATAATGAGCTTACACTTACACGTAGATCTATACTGGTTCGGACAAGTATAAGGCAAGATATTGATATGGTAATTAAATAAGGGAATTTAATTCCAATAAATATTGATTTTCGCTCGTTCAAGCGGTTGATAATGTGTGTTTTTATTCATGTATAATTTTTATCTAAATGTATAACTACTGTAGGAAATAAAATCCAGCTTCTAGCTGTATGGCAAATTGGGAGAAGACGTTGGAGATGGATAGAACATACATTACGGAAATTATCGAACTGCATCACGAGGCAAGCGCATACCTGGAATCCTGAATAAAATCGGGAAAGAGAAAGGTCGAAGAACACATTGAGTCAAGAATTGGAAGTAGACATGAAAAGGATGAATAGCAACTGGAAAGAACCAGAAAGGATCGTCCAGGATAGAGTTGGGTTGACAATGTCTGTGGGCGGCCTACGCACTTCTACGAGGGGTGAGACGTGTAATAAAGTGAGTAATTTTGACTAATGGTATGTTTGTCTGTTTAATCGGATAAATTGTTTGGATGACGTAGACATGATGAAAAAATTGATGGCCATATCAGTCAACCAATCAAACCTTATCATGTCATCTGCATAAATCACAAAACCCATGTTTCATTCAATCTCTGTACTTAATACCATTGGTCTCTCGAGTCGGAGTGTTTGAATTACTACTATTTCGTATTAAATAAACTGATGTCATGTTGCCATCTGTGACCCACTCACCAAATGAGATATTTCTTCAAAATAAAATGTATGAAAGTGATAACAATTATAGAACACTCGAACTCAGATAGGCTTTAAAACTTCATTCACGTGACAATTGATGCGTTCAATGTCGTGATTTGATCGTAACCCTAAAGAAACAAAACGTTAGATCTCAATCCAGAGATTAATTTTACTGTAGTATTTATGGTAAGCCAAAAATATCTTGGATTCAGTTTCAGGAGTTATGGTGCACATGCATCATTAAAGAAGTTTAAATAAGGATTAAACGATTATTCAATATTGTAGTGAACGAGAACACAAATGCGGACAATCGATTGTATTTAAACATAAAATCCCAAAAAACCAATCGTTTCAGACTTTATTGTTCTTTTGTTTCTATACTAATCCTTGTTCTTTTCTCGGTGAGACTATAATTTATGGACGAACCAATCAGATATAAGATAACGAGTCACGAATTTTGGTGTGGAATTCACCCACACATTTGGCTAAATAGAGTTTTGTCATTATAGCTGATATCAGTTCGTGATGAAAACACTTAATCTAATTTTTAGTAAGAATTATCAATGTACATGTATTTACATTCCATCTGAGGGTTAAATTGCAAGTGTTATTGTAGTAGTTATTTTTTATATAAATAATTAAATCTACCGGAACTACTTACTAATAGTAAGTAGTATATTTCAAAGCAATGCGAGGTATTTTAGAGACGATAATCATTTAGGTTAAACAATAACTCAGTGGGTTTCGACCTTGTTCAGATGAAATATGTCATACTCCTTGACTGAAAAGGAAGACACAACTACTTGAAATGCTAGTCGAGTATTGACATATCACGTACCTATACTCACTCACATGTCATCTAAACGTTAGATATTAGGTGGAAAACTATGAATAAATAAAACTGCTAGAGAAAGTCGGTTGAAAGTTCCTTCAATGTTTTAGGCTTAATTCTTTGGTCAGAGAATGGTAATGATGTATATTAGTATGGGGGATTTGTGAAGATTTTAATATTTTCACAGTTGAAGTCATGAACTGTTCTTAGCTATACCACGATTAGAAATCTTAGTATTAAGCTATTTGGAGGTGAACATTAACAACCTCATACCTCAGATTCGCAGCGAGGATTTTCGATTGAATTCTTCACAGAAGATCGATAGTAGTTTTTTCAAATTTGATTAACATTTTCCAGTGCTATACTTTATTTGGATCTATTCAATTGAGCGACTAACAGTTCAATATTAAAAATGAAAGGATGTTTTTATTAGTTTTATATGTAGATGAGCATAACTTTATTGTCATATTAGGTTGAACTATATATATATATTATTGGAAGGAAGTTGGCCTCGTGACGTCGGAATAATCTCTGCCTCGCCATGATGCAACACAGTTGTGGTACAAGAACATTCTTTAAATTCCAGGTCAGAGTTCGTTTGCTATAATTTGTTTATTGTGGTTGGCATATTTCTAGCGACGTCGCTAACTAAAGGAAGACGTCCAAGCTTGGAATGAGGAAGTACATTCTATAAAACAGCCAGAAACGAGCTATAACAATAAACACAAATCAAAACGTATATATACAGCAAAAACTGTCCTCGGAGAGAGTTACCGAATAGCATACTGAAAGACGCAACGGACCATTAGCATTTAAGATATTTCCCAATTGGGAAATACGATATGAATGTGACAAGAGGGATTTTGGCGCAAATACAAAGAAATGCAAATTTTCTAAATAAAATTACAAAATGAAGTTCTTTTTCAAGTGAGTTCTGGGGATCTAATGTCCGCAACATCTGTAATAAGAATGCTTCTGCATGGAGAAATCCATTCTAATTCTGTGGAAAATTGAAGAAACATTTCAGTATCGACTGATATGTCTAAACGAATCCAGCCACATATACAATTCGATTGCTTCCATTAAACTATGATATCCAACCTAAATTGATGTTCGATGAAAGCATACATCTGGTTAATAGTGAAATGTTTTCATCCAGAATATCGGCTAACAATCAGTTTATTCGTCACAGTGATTGGTATAAAAAGATACACAGAACATGCTGTGGATTATTTAATCAGGATTATTCTCCACAGTCTCCTTCACCAATATACACAGGACGTGATAACTAGACGAGTTTTAAAGAATCGAATTTATTAATGGACGTTTCACAGATTTATAAATCACGGACGTGAAACTGGATGATCTTATGAGAAAATGACCACTACAATCATTTGAAATTAATTGGTGAATGGTCACAGAGTTTATTCATCGCTGGAGCAACACCATCTATGAATTGACAACCAGAAGATTTGCTTTCACTTCATCTTCTTTTTAGAAAAGTAGTAATAATTTGTAAAATGAGAAATTCACTCATCTTTGATGTTTGAGGGCAGGTGACTGTCAGTCAAATAAACATCTTTTTATGAGAAAACGATGTTTTGTTTATTCTAACCAAGACTGATATTACACCCACGATACAGAATAGAGAATACCATATTATTATTTGATTATTTGAGATGGAATGAGGTGATCAATGATAAACAAAGTATAATCATAGCTGATTCTATAAACAAAACAGAGGTCAACACAAATATGTTTTTGTTCATTAGACAAACACGTTGTTTACACTGAGATTGAAGAAGTAATCAATATTTCTTTGAGTATTTTATTGGATGTAAGAGAAATGATAGAACTTGATGTGATGTTATATTGAATGTGATGGATCAGACAGAATTCTCAGTGTTTTTGCAAATCTTATTCCTCAATGCATACGATTTACACGTTTGTGGTGTTTGTATGAAGTAGGTTTGATGTAACGAGGGAATCGACAAGTTTTCCTGACAATTAACTTCATAGAGCCACTTTATCTACGGTTCAATGATTGAGACAGTAACTTAGGAATGTTAAGGTAGTTAACTATTTCAATACATTCATACATACACTCTCGGCCATACCAGGGCATTTGGCGGCCTTGATAAAATATCACAACCATTTCATTGAATCCTTCATTTGGGAATTACCATCATTTGTCCATCACATTCTACATAATTCTTCCAGTCCAGACTCCTTTTTTCCCCTTGCATTCTCTTCAACTCGATCTTCTTAGCATTCTGCTGTCAGGTTTTCCACTTCCGATCGGTGTTACAAAATACTTCTATCGACAGACAGAAGTAGTATACACAACAACTTTATGAATTTTCATTCTCATTTCTGACTTATGCTACAATTCGGAACTCAATCACAGCTTTTCTTTACATGCTATTGTTTACTCAGCTTTTCAGTCTTCAGATGTAATCTATGAAAATAAACCAATGAATCACAATCCGATAATTCGTGTCCTCAAAAATCAATCTCCTCGATGATGTATTACACATAGTTATCTTTGTGTTTCATCAAACAGAAGTACACATTTCGGTTTTTGTTTTGAATAAATGAAATCTACACAGATTGAATACTGTGATACTTGGCTATTCACCCATTTAATAGATCAGTAAAGAAAGCCTGAATCAAAAGCTCGATTTGTATGGGGACGGGACAGGAGTTATACTACTGGTACTCAACATAACTGAAGTCATCTTGATCAACTGCTGGAAACCAAACTAACATATCCAGAAGAGGTATGCAACCAGCCTCCATGTCTACCGTGGTCCACGGCTGAATGACCAGCCACCTCAAATGCATGTTATAAACCTATTATCCCAATTCGTTTTGTGATTATCTCCTTCCTAATCCACATTATTTCGTTTTCATCGTAATTACCTTGACTATACTCTTTTTATTACATATTATATTCACACAACGTTGTTATTATCATCACCATTATTATTAGTATTATTATATTGACAAAAACCTGGAACCTTACTACAAGACATTCCGAACTTCATCAAGTGACCTTCCTATTTCACAAATCACACCATCTTCAAGTATTTCCATGGTAACATATGAGAATGTTCATAATTGTTCATAAATAACTATGTTTAGAAACTTCTGATCTAAAAATATCATTTAAACTATATGATTATGCAAAATCTTTATTTCAAAGAATTATGACTTCTCATGGTGAAAGTAGAAATTCTTTAAAAGTCACGAGGTTTATATGTGTCAGATGTTGGTGAAATAAGAAGATGAAACACATCACCATTCACAGTATAACTGAAATCCATGTA